ATGTAATGTATTTCATGGGGCAAAGGGAGGCTCAGGAACGTAACTCCCGTATTTTATCTATTCCTGATGGGGGAAATTGATTCCGTTAGCGTTGTTTCCGTTAACGTTGTGGTTTTCAGGAACGGAACCACGACGTTAAGCGAGGACTTACTGTACATTCTTGAGGAAATATTTTGCCTCTTAACACACTCAGGCACCGACTTATTTATAGCAACTACCCCACCCACGCATGGGTTAGTTGTGACACACTTAGTACATGGAAGAGCCCCATGCTGCATCTTTTTTTTCTTGGATAAATTTTTTGGTAACCAGTTAATTTTTTTCTCGATATAAAACCAACTATTCCACTTACAAATTATTGCTCTTTCTTATGAAACCAGAAAAAATGTGAAAATGAAAATACAGTATAAGAAATAATTTTGATGTAAAGTCATGCATTATAGTTTTCAATATCAACTTGTATTTTAACCAAGAAACAACCAAGTAAGAACAATTAGTGTTAGCTAACAAAAGAAAGCGGACATTTTTGTGCTTTATATTGGTGAAATATTTTTTTTATGAGTACAGTAATAAGGCTGGTAAATTGAAAAAATGGAATACTGTATGTATATGGTTTCTATATTTTCTTCCAAAATTGTTCACTCTTTTTAGATTTTATCATTATTATATATATCATCCACAGAGGGGCATTTATAATGAACTTCACGCACAAGATGCTTACATGTTTGAAGAAGTGAAATATCATAAAATAAACATTCGTAAAGACTTATAAAACATTTCACAAGACTTTACATCACTTTTACAGATAGCTCAAATGTGTAATGTATCCACAAAAGGGCATTATTACTCATCTTACACACATGATGGTTCCAAATTTGAATACTAAGTAAAATATTCTAAAAAATAAATAAATGAACTCTTTATAAACACTTTACAGACAAACATTACTGCACAATGGATGGCACAAGTGTGTGGGATGAATAGCAAGATAAAATGTTTGCAGGACTCTCTCCCTCTACCTTGTAGGTGGACTACTAGGAGAACACTGTTTTATGGTGTCGCTCTTTGGACATTTGTCATGTAGCTAATTAGTTATGAATTACCATGAGAGAGAAGGCCTACTAGAGTGACGCGCAAAAATCTCAAGCGTCAATCGGAATTACTCGATGTTTTGTGATTTTTTTCTGTTAAGTGATGGGATTTTGTGTCGGTTCCGATTGGACGAGATTATGAATCACATAATACACGTCATGGTGCCTGAAAGTGTTAAAGGGGGAAATTTTCCTTCAAAATGTAATTGTATAAACATACTGTACATCTATTTACAGCAATTCTAATGTACTAAAATAGTGTAATAATTACACTGACACATGAAATCATAGCTCTAAGTACTGTATCTTATTGTGCCCAAAATACACATAACAAGCCCTCTAGCCTTAATTTATCACAGTTTCTGACCAGCAACAAACCTTCTTAACATTTTCAATTTTATCCCTGGTACCTCACAAGCACTTGATGAATTCTTGTCATGCATAATGAAGGCCTTGAAAGGTGAACAGTGGAGTATGAAATGCATGCCCTGACAAAGAGGACATAATTTTCTACCAAAAAATATTATTTTACTTATTTAGATTCATTTTGTACTTTGAAATACCCCCTCCCCCCTAAATGCCATAACTGCAAGTTACATGTACAGTAATGTTAAGTGAAATGTGTAACCTAACTTCACATTCCATAACTTGGAAATTTCATACAGCAAGCTTCTGTTATATGGGAGATTCCTGTACTGTACTGTATTTGGTTATGTGATAGAAAATGTGTTGTAACCTCAGCCTAAGGCAAGGACTTTTTTTCTTGATCTGTTTTTATATCTCTCTGTTCATGAACAATATATCTTAGAAACAAGTGTATTAATTTGGATGAAACTTGGCAGGTATATTGAGTACAGTACCAAGAATAAGCTAGATTGATTTTGAAGATACATCAAAGGTCGAGGTGATGAGTTGCGAGGGAGACCTCAGCACTGCCGGCACTAAAGTGACCATACTGTACAAATTTTGATTAGAGCTTGACAGATAACTTGTGTTGACCAAGGGAGAAACTATAAAACATATGTCTTTTACAGCTCAAGATCATAGATCACAGATCACGATTTTTGAGAAAACACACCTGAAATAGTATTTGGAACAATATTGTAAAACAGCCAGTGCAGTGGCTGCTGATGAACAGAGAATGATTTTTATTTCAGACAAAGTAGATCACAGAATAAGGTAAATGTTTTACTTAGAATGAGGTATGGTGCATTGATGCTTGCCTTGTAGTTTTATTTCCAGCAATCTTTTTCATTCATTTTGTCCTGAACTCTTCACTTTTATTTTTCAGCATGTTGAGTGCATCATCTGTACTCTTTAATTTTTTTCATTAGTTTGTGTTATGGTTCTTGCTTGTTCTTTGCGGTGTATATTATCCCCAATCAAAAAGGTTCAGGATGATATAATTATGGTTCTTTTGGTCTGTGTGTGTAAAGATGAGTGGTTTATGCATGTAAGCCAAAGTTCTATTAGGCACATTGTAACCAAGCTTTGCCCATAAGTCTTTTATACTGAAATTATGAATATTGGTTTGGTGATGAGCCATACCATTGTTGGTACTGTACTTAAAGCTTTCTTATTTAGATAGTAAATACTGTACCTTATTATGTGTAACTTCTTAGTTGTTGTTGTATCAAACCTATAAATAATAGATCAGTTGGTAGTGCCTCAGATTTGAATTATTGTTTAAACATCAGTGGAACCTTGATACCTTATGAATGAGAGCATTTATTTTTCTGTCCTGGGCACAGTAAGCCCTTCATATATAAGATATCCAGTATTGTACCATAGTTCTTGTTAACCAAATGAACAAATATAATTTTTCCCTTGCAGATCTCTTTGTCTAAATACAGTTTCTGTGCCACAAACTCATATGGCAGGGCAGTTTGGACCACCAGGCAGACAACATATGGTGACCTTTCTCACCATGATTTTTGCTCTTGTTTTAATTGAGTTTTAGTGTTTCTTTATGAATAATTTTTTCAGGGGGACATAGCTCAGAATAACACAAAATTGTTTGAGGACAACTGTTTGGACAAAAAATATTAAATTATTCCAAATTATCGTATTGTGAATACTGTATCTAATTAATGTGGGTTCAGCATTTATCCATGGAAGCGTTTAGTTATGGCCAGTCTGTTTTGCACCTTTACTTAGGTGGTTCAAGCATATTGTTTAATCTAGAGAAGACCAGATGTAAGTACAGTAGGTGATCTAAAAGAATGGTGAGGTGCTCATCAACTAGTGTAATGTCTAGTTTTCTTTCAGATCTCCACTGTCCACAAGGGAAAATCCATTACTGTATCTAAATACCCTTTATAAACTATGGTTGCATAGAGTAAGTTATTAATCTAAATACCCGGTAGGTTAATCCTAGCCACTTAGGTTAGGTCTCCAAAATCTTCTTCATCAGTGGCTTAATGTAAGCATTCTACCCAAGCTGCCTAGGTCAGAGCTTGTTTATAAGGCAGTAATTCATTTTGAACATATTTTTAATGAATTTTCAAAAAATATTTTTCACTAAAGAGGACATCTCACTCAAGTGAGCACTTACCTTGGGTCCCACGAATGTCTTGAATATCAACGTTCCACTGTATGTTATACAAAAAAAATTTTCCTCACAGTAATATTATTATTTTTTTATACAGAACTATCATGTAGACTAAATTATAAATTATCTTTCTAGCAATTGGCCTTAAGCCAGGTGGCTTTTATGATACAGGATGGCTGCTTACTGAGGGATCAGGGTTTTAACCTTTCCATATAATGTAAAGTTGATCTGTTAACTTATTTAATACAGTATATGAATAACCTTTTACTTCCCATCTTACTGTCATCCTTACATGTTGGGGAATAAGTGCAATAGTTGCCTTTAAAGGCTGTTAAGCCCCTTTTTTACACATCAGGAATGGTTAAGACACTTTGCAGTTCTCAGTATTTATAATCATTCACATGGCTACTATTGGGTCTTATATTTATTTAAGGTTTATGCTCACACAATGGCTTAGGTGACTCGTAGAAAGTCAGCATACTTAAGGGTTTGAGAACCCTGGGTTCCCAGGATCCTTGACATTTGTGACTGGGGCTAAATTCTAGAAATTCAGAAACAAGTAGCTCTCCTGACATTACCACAACCATAGGACAGACATGTCTCAGAGAAGACCACCTTACTTGTGTTCAACAACTAGGGTCTTTAAGTGCATAACAAGGTTAGTAATTAAAAATAATGAGAGAGAGACCTCTCTATATTCACCATATCTTCAAGAGGTAACTGTTGCACCTGGTTCTCCTCAATTAAGGCTGACAGTGTGATGGAGTGGGAGGGGTGACTGGTATACCCAAATAGGTTGATATATCAACCCTCACAACCATTAATGGGATGCAGTAAGTGGACCTTGATTGGTCTATAAATGGTGTGCGTGCGTGCGTGCGTGTGTGTGTGTGTGTGTTATAAACATTGCCCAAGTACTATACTGTACAGGTTCTGCTAGAAAACAGGATTTCAGGATTACAGGTAGTTTTCTATTTTATAAATTAGTTCTGGTTTTGTATATACATCACTGTACATTACTGTTTACTGGATATATCAGTAGTGTGTCTGGAAAAATTTGGCACACCTGTTTACAGTTTCATTATGAATAAATGACAAGCAGTGACTGATTGTGCTTTTCCATCTGGTGTTATGCATCTATTACTATGGTAGTGTATGTAATTTTTTTAGCAGAGTTAATTGTTGCTGTAATTAAATAATTAATGTAAGTATAAAACAAGAATTTTTTTTATTATTTTGATCTCATTCTTTGTTACATACGTATGAAGTTCCTTAATTACCTGTATTTAAAAAGTTTTTCTGTAATTAATCAGTAATTTACCAATCTCTTTCTAAATCATCTTAACTTTATCTTGTAGGCGTGTAGTGTACTGAACCTGTCCTTCAAGACACCCATTGGTCTCGCAGCTGGGTTTGACAAAAATGGGGAAGCTGTAGAAGGACTGGCCAACATGGGTTTTGGTTTCATTGAGGTGGGCTCAGTGACCCCCTTACCCCAGCCAGGCAATCCCAAGCCTCGGGTGTTTCGCTTACCTGAGGACCAAGGTGTCATTAATAGGTTAGGTTATAGTATTAAGTTGTATACTTTGTTTCATCAATTAATTATTCATCATTTGTTCGTAAGTGCTATTAACTTAAATTTTTTAGTACAGTCGACCCTTGCTATTCGCGGCTTTGTGATTCATGATTTCGATGATTTGGGGTAAGCAAATGGTGACTATGGTGGCTAGCTTGCAAGCCCTTTCCCTCAGCAATTCATGTTGTACTCTCAAAACTTTAGTGTTTCTGTGTGAAAATGGCCCCTAAAAGACTGCCTAGCGTCAGTGCTAGTGATGCTAGTGGAGTGAAATGTAAATAACAGAAGTCAGTGATGACCCTGACAAAGAAAGTTGAATTATTAGACAAGTTAAAGGAGGGGATGAGTGCTGCTGCGGCTGGTCGGTTGTTTGGTATAGATATACAGTTGTGCACTAAGGTAGTATAAGTTGCTATTCATGGTTTTGCCTATTCACGTCATTCCTTGGAACCCAACCCCAGCGAATAACAAGGGTTTACTGCACTGATGAAAGTCACTTGAATTAGGTATGTGCTCATTTTATATAGATACAAGGGGTCCTCATTATATGTTGGGGATGAGTTCTACAGAAAAGCAACTTTGGTGAAACATTTTATAAGAAAGAAATTTTCCCCATAAGAATTAATGTAGGTAGGGGTCAGTGGTGGGCACAGCTAAACGAAAAGTTAGCTTCGCTAACCGCCAATCCGCTTACTAAAAAGTTAACTTCGCTAATGCTAAACAGCTAAAAAAATTAGCGGAAGCTAACACTAACCGCTAACTTTTATTATATGAATTTAGCTTCGGTTTTTTTTGGGGGGGGCGGGGGGGCTCAAAAACCCTTAAAAACAGACCTAGAGAGCTGAAATTTTCATATGTTGTCTTGTAGCTTAGACATAAAGCTTTCCAAAAAGGTATAGCATGCCAAGATCAGATGGTGATCAAGGTGTACACAAATAATTAAATGAACAAATGAAATTAAACATTAGTTTCCATTCAAGTTTCAACATACACTTTATAATCTTTATTTACTGTACGAAAAGACACAAAGTATTAAACGAATCCAAAAACTATAGTACTGTATAGCATAGGTAGCAAATGGCATCATGCCAAGATCAGATGATGATCAACTTATCATGGTGTACACTACACAATTTCACAAATAATTAATTTGCATTCTCATACAACCTATCGGCCTTATTCATTATTCATGTACAGTAAATATGCAAAACCAACCACATACACATTATACCAGTACATTTTTATATAACTTATTGTTGGTCTTAGTCATGTAAATAAACAGAAAACTCTTAACTTTAATGAAAAGTAAGTTTTTAGAAAATTTTGTTTGGCGTACACCAGGATTTTAATACTGTACAGTAAGACCTCGCTTAACATCGTGGTTCCGTTCCTGAAACTCACAATTTTAACGGAAACAACGTTAACGGAATCAATTTCCCCCATAAGAAATAGATAAAATACGAGGGTTACGTTCCTGAGCCTTCTTTTGCCCCATGATATACATTACATACACAGAAATTCAATGGCATTTTTATTGAATATAGTACCACTTCCAGTCCTAACCTTAAACTTGTCCGGATAGTACGCACTGCTGTGGGGGGTTAGACCTAGAGCAGCAGCTATGTCCACTGCATGTTCCCCTTTCAAAATGGTTTAAAACCTCCATTTTTGTAGCAAGACTAATGGTTTTATGTTGCTTCTTCACAACACTAGCATCAGTAGCACTTGATGGGCCCTTGGAAGCCATTTCGAATTGTTAGAGTACAGTAATAAGAGCAAAAATACTTAAACACACACGAACGCTGTGGAAGCTTAACAAAGACTGACGAGGAAGCCTAACAAAGACTGACGACGCTTGGGGACGCTGTGACGTTCCGCGAGTGAGAGGTAGCGAGCCAAGATGAGAGAGCGTAGCACGGCAAGACAAGAGAGGGTAATGCACCATAAAAAGTAGTCTGACGACGCTGAAAACGATGTTATATTGAGTCGTCTGGACGTTAACCGAATTATTGGTTTCTAAAGAGTAGCGACGTTATAATGAAACAACGTTATCGGGGGCAACATTAAACGAGGACTTAATGTATTCTAAAAGAAGAGGAATTTGTATATCTTATATTTGTGAACTGTATTTTTTTTCAGTACTATCCTCTTCCTCAACTTGAATATGACCCACACTATCACCATCACAATTGCTCAGGTCTTTTTTTTTTTTTGCACTACTTTCTGGTGTTTTTAAAAGCACATATTTTTCTAGAGAACCTTTCATTGACATTTTTATTTTTTCTCTTTTCCTTTTTCTGCCTTTTCTCTGCACCCGAGATGTATTTTCTGTATCTGTCTCTATCCCTGCTGGCCATGGTATAATTAAAAACGAGGGCTGTGTACGATACATAAAATAATGTATATCAACAATTTCACAAAACACAAATCGTGAACAACTGGAGATTTAGAGTTTCGACATCATTGACAGGTGACCACTGTCAACGTCCTCACTCCTCTTTGACAGAGAGCACAGTAAAGAATGACATTGTTCTCAGTCTGGATGTGGTGGCTTATCTTACCTTTGACCTCATGTCAGCAGATGCATTGCCTATCTGTGTTGGCACTAATCCTTTAGGTGGTCTCCTGAATCTGGGTGGTAAGGTGAGGTCAGCTTAACGCAATCACTAGTTCTGGTGTTGGGTGAGGTGGGTCCCAGGGCAGTCGCACTGGTTGCCATATCCTCAGGACGGCCCTGGTCTCAGGACCTGAAGATGTCTTGAATCAAGACGAATGGTAAAGTATTTTTGAGGGAGATTGTGATAAGTGTACGTATAAATGAGCAACGTTGTATCCCTTCAACATTATGTTGCCTTTAACATTTTAAAATATGGTGTGAGAAAGCAGAAAGGTATGGGTGATTAGAGAGATGTAGTGGAAAGGAGTGGTAACATGCACCAGTGTGTTGCCAAGCGCTCTTTAACAGCTGATCTTTAACTTGCCACCACGCAGTCTTTCACACTCTCAAATTTGTCATACAATAAGATCCTCACTGTGTAAGCTTGCTGTCTTAATTCCCATGTTGGGGATGTGCGGGTAGAGAGAGAGAGAGAGAGAGAGAGAACGGTTTATTGAAAGAGCATGGCAGCCAGAAGGTTGAAAATATACAGTTACATAATTGGGGAATGGGTCACTTGATTGACAAATAATATACAAGTAACATAAGTGATACAAATATAATATATAATAACTAGGTGGGGAGAAGGTTATATTATAGGGCATTTCAACATAGTGACAGCGCAAAAGGGTAAGATTGGTTGGGAGTGAACACACTGGTTGATTACGAGTTGAGTTGTTGATAATTGTTATAATGGTTGGGACTGGGCTGTTCTTATAGCGATCAGTACGTGCTCGTATGGGCTGGATGCGGTTGTGGTGTTGAACAACAATTTGCGGACGAGGGATCTTGGGTGGAATTAGGAGCCGGTGTCGAGGATGGTGCAGAAGCTTCTCACCAAATGTGCAGATGAGGTTGTGGTGATGGTCAGAGGGTGGGTGGTGTGGGAGGGTAGGTGGGTGGATGGGTGGTGTTGGAGGTTGTCTGTGGGTGATGTAGGAGTGTGTGCCTGTTGTATGCGAAGGGTACAGATATTAATAACCACAGATTATTACACTAATGTATCTTTACTAATTATTGAATAACAAATAAACAATATTGCATCATCAATGACGGTCGTTTCATGATTAGTAGAGTGTGATTGTTATTTGATGAATAGTAGCATACCCATGAATAATCAAATTCATGAAAGTTAAATTCACTAAAGTTGAGGGTTTATTGTATACAAAGTTATATAGAGGTTGAGTAACTTGCACTGAATTGTGGAGACTCTTGTGATATTTTGCTAGTTTTGTGGTGTAACATGTTACACAAAACAGATTTAACCGATGATGGTCACAATTTTTTGTTTGCCTCAACAGATGTGGTTTTAACAGCGAGGGTCATGAGGCTGTTTATGAGCGCTTGTCCCTGTTGCCTCCTCCAGGGAACAGAAAAGCAATCTTGGGTATCAACCTCGGGAAGAATAAGACCGCACACGATCACGTGCATGATTTTACTCTTGGGGTTGAGAAGTTTGGTCCAATAGCAGATTACCTTGTTATCAATGTTTCCAGGTAAGAAGTTCAGTATTACAATGTTCTTTGTTTAGTGGTGTTAATAAATGGGATTATGAATTTGAAAAATACTTTTGTTTATGGGATATGGAGTGTTGTGAATCATTGTAGAGGTTAAAGAGTATTTTTTTATAATCTGGGACACCATGCCATCAGGTAATCACAGCTAACTCACACAAATATAAAAAATGGCCACAAAATGGTAGTGATGCTGAATGCTTACGTAAGTTCAGAATGTGAGCAAAAATGGGAGGGTTTTGCTAATTGTTGCCTTATCTCCCCCCCCCCCCCTTGTTAGATTATCTCAATGGACTGAGGCAGAACACACAAATGATTCCTGGCAGTCTGTAAAGAGCTGAATTATAACTAAGAAATTTGTTATACCTAATGTAAAGACTACCATATTTCACTTTTCTGAACCATGTTAGAAGTGTAATGATCACATAATTTTTTGTTATAAGAATTCTTCTTGTCTTAGTAGTATATTTGCAAATATTGGGTTTTTAATTGTTTTCCAATTAATAAATATATTTACAGCCCCAACACTCCAGGACTGAGAAATTTACAGCACAGGGAGGAGTTGGAGGAGTTAATTGAGGCTGTGGTGACAACCCGAGACAGTTTACCGGGCACACACAAACCCCCTCTCCTGCTGAAGATTGCACCAGATGTTTCAGAAGATGACAAACAGAACATAGCAAATGTTGTCTTAAGGAGCAAAGTATGTTTGAGTGTTATAGTAGTATCATTTTATTTTTTAATTTCGAACCCTTCCTTGTTTCAGCACAAGGTGGGCAGAATCAAGAGCAACACAGACCTTCCATAATTTGCCATTCATATATTGTAGCTACTTTTCCAGATGTGTTCTGCTATGGTATTTCCTTTTCAAAACATGACCCAAAAGATTTCCATATTATTCTCGGCACTTTAAGTAGAAAGTCTTTGAGAATGCAGGTATTTCAAGTGGTTGCATCTTTCCATATGTCAGGATCTATGTCCTCACATTAAGGAAGACTCTGATGGACATCTCGGTGAATACTTTGCCCATCTGTTATTTACCCTCATTCATCATTTCACTAAAATAGAATTAGGATATTGTATATACAGGGTATAAGTCTGTTTTCTTTGGTTACTGGTTCAGTAATTTTTATACCTGCCTTGTAAGTGACCTCTGAACAGCCCAACATAGTTCTGTAGGCAAGGCTTTCCCCAGAAATAATGAAAATATTGAAAAAAGCTTTCATGAGTGGTTTTTCCTCGCATTCTGTAAACTTTGTGGTTTTTGTAAGCAGGTATGTATGTTCTGAGAGCGTGTTGTGTACCTGCACAGTTTAGTTTTCATCCATTTGATACAGCTTATAGTAATTTAGGAAGTTCCCTGTAATTACCAAGAAATTTCTTAAGAAAAGAGATTAACTGATCAAAAAGTGAGTGAAATGATAAACAAGATTGCACACTGCACATCTATCTTGTTATGTTTTGAAAAAAGTTTGAAAAAGTTTTTTGAAGAAGTGCCAGTTCTTCTAAAGAATTCACTAGCGCTCGAAACACGTCAAATTCAAAGACTTGAGAGAAAAAAAAGAAGTACTGTACTGCAATAAAAGATCACAAAAAGTGACAGTTTGACTTCCATCATTCATATACCCGTAAGTCTAATACTTCCTAAACCCTGTAATTCTCAATCACTGTATCCTGTTCAACATCATAAGCTTTCAAAAAAGAAAGGTCTTAAGTTATTTCTTAAAGGTCTCCACAGAAGTCTGCTGCTTCATGGATGCAGGTAACCAATTGTACAATCTGGGAGCTTTAGGCTCCTCAAGGCATGAAGGATCATCTCTACCCAAAATCATTTCAGAATGTGTTGTTGATGGAATTAGTAGGTTGGCCATATACTTAGGCTCACCAAACATTAGTGTCTTAAAAGTCATTAGGCTGAGTTTGAACTCTATCATAGCTTTAACTGGAAGCCAGTGTAATTTGATCAAGATTGGAGTACTGTATTGGGAATCCTCGGTGGGAGAGCAAAAATAAGCCTGGTTACACTGTTCAACACTGTTTGAATTTTCTTCAGTAAATAATTAGGTAGACAGACCCACAAAGAGTTACAATAGTCAACCCGAGGCAAAATAAGTGAATGTAATAGAGTCACAAGACATAGTAACAAAACTGTATGCCATATTACCATTAAAGATTAGTAATGTAAGACTTACTTTTAGCAGTTGTTAACTGATTTTATTCTGGAAAGTTTTCACGGTTTATTTATTGTGTAACATAATTTTTTTTTTTTTAATAAACAATGTCCTCATATTGCTTGACTACTTTTCTACCAATTGATATTATAATTTCCACAAAGAAAACCTTAATCTAGAAAGCCTTTTGAGTGTTTAACTGTCTTTTATCATTTGTACCACAGGTGCTTGTTTGTGAAGATCACATGTCTGTAGTACAATAGAATTGCAGATAGGATGAGATTTGCTGCATTCACCTTTTAACCATATAGTTTTATGATGCCTTTCAGAAGCGGATCGATGGGCTGATCGTGAGCAACACAACAGTTACCAGACCAACATCACTTCAGAGTCCGGACAAAGAGGAAGTGGGAGGCCTCAGTGGTCAGCCCCTCAGGACTATGGCTACACATGCCATCAGAGACATGTATCGTCTCACACATGGTAAAGAATTAGTGGAATGTACTTGTGGAATTTACTTTTCAGTATCTTATTAATCTCAACTAAAAATTATATGTTCCAGTAAGTAACATAACAAAAGGACACATAAAGACCCCTTTTTGTATATATTTAATCCTCTCCCACTTTTGTGTGGAGTAAGTCATGGTATACAGAAACCCCCTAAAAAGGGGGAAATGATAGGCAAGAGTGATTAAAAACAAATGTTGGAAGCAACAGGAAAAGTGGAGCCTCCAAATTGATTCATGATCCTTCATTACTGTCCTAATACTTCACATCACCAGTCACTCTATTGCATTAATTACCAATACTCTCTTAAACCATATACTGCACCAATCATGAAAGCTTACTTGCATGTATAATATTTTTTATTATTACTTCAGATATATAATATATACTGATAAGTGTACAGTGATCCCTTGGTTAATGAACACCTCGGTTAACGAAATTTCGGTTAACGAATTACCTTCCATAAGATTCTTCACTTCGGTTAACGAGCAAACCCTCGGTTAACAAATTCCTTACGAGCTCCCCTCAGCATGTTCTCGCTTGCTCACTAGCTGTAGTATTAGTCCGCCTATACAGTAATCGGTTCTAGGGCTTAAATTTTTTACCATTTTAGTAAATATCAAGAAGGTTGTACTATTCAATAATTTTAAAAGTCTTATATTAAAATTTTTAGTCATTTTAGCAATTATTTAACATAATTGAAGTACAGGAAACTAATTTTTAGCGCGCCAAACAGCCACTCAACACACCAAACAGGTGTCAGTCTGTGTCTCTTTTCAGTGGAGGTAACATCTTGCTTCAGACTCTTCAACATAACTGTTTTTTCCATTTTTACAGTGAAATTATTGGTCATTTTGAAATTTATTTTACATATTGATGATATATAGCGCAGTGCAGTGTTGATTTAAAAAAAATATTCTTTATTTACTGCAATTAAACTTAAAATTTTAGTGTTGAAATTGTTTTTGAATCCAGCATGGGTCCCAAGAAATCTAGAAAGGCGATTTCAATCCAGGTGAAACAGGAAATTATTAAGAAACATGAAGAAGGCATTAGAACAAATGTGCTTAGTAAAGAATACGGCATGTCGACATCAACTGTGTCGACAATTCTTTCACAGAAAGACAAGTTCAAGGAAGTGAAAGTGAGAGACAATTCTACCAGAGTGTTTAAAGGTAGATCCCTAATAGCAGAAACAGAGAGGTTATTTCTCATTTGGATTAGGGAAAAACAAATGAAAGGTGATTCAGTTTCGACCGAATTTATTTGTGAAAATGCCAGGGAGATTTACGAACATTTAAAGGCAGATCAACCTGGTTCTTCAGGCACAGAGTTCGAAGAGTTTAGGGCCAGCAAGGGCTGGTTTGAAAAATTTAAGAAAATAAGTGACATTTTCAGTGTTATTAGGCATGGTGAAGCTGCCAGTGCTGATAAGGAAGGAGCAGCAAAAATTTTAGTGGACTTTAAAGTACTGGTGGATGAAGAAAATTATCTTCCACAGCAAGTGTTCAATGTGGACAAAACTGGGCTGTTCTGGAAAAAACTGCCCAAAAGGACATTCATCACCAGAGATGAAGCCTCTTTACCTGATCATAAACCCATGAAAGACCGTCTCACTCTATTGCTTGGTGCCAATGCTTCAGGGGATTTCCGACTGAAGCCTATGCTTGTCTACCACTCTGAGAACCCCAGGGTGTTCAAGCAACAAAAAGTGGTAAAAGGACGGCTTGGAGTTTATTGGAAGTCCAACCGTAAGGCATGGGTGACAAGACAGCTCTTTAATGAATGGGCAGTTGAGGTGTTTTGCCCTTCTGTGAAGAGCTACCTAACCACCAAAAACTTCCTTTAAAGGCTCTTCTCCTTATGGATAATGCCCCTGGTCATGACCCTCAACTTGCCAGCACTTTGGAGTCTCAATTTGACTTTGTGAAAGTGTTGTTTTTGCCTCCCAACACTACATCAATCATACAACCAAGGGACCAGAATGTGATCAGCAACTTTAAGAAGCTACATGAAGAAAATGTTCAGGTGTCATCATCAGGCAACTTCCACTGATCCTGAACTAACACTGGTACAGTTCTGGAAGACACAATTTAACATCCTGGAGGCTGTAAAATTGATTGTGTCCTCATGGCGAGAAGTCTCCACTAGATCCCTCAATTCTGCATGGAAAGCACTGTGGCCATCAGCAGTCCATGATTTTGAGGGATTTGAGGAAGAAGCAGAGTTGGACCAGGAGATTGTGTCCATTGGTCAGTCATTGGGCCTTGAAGTGGAGGAGGATGATTTGGAAGAGCTTGTGATGTCTCATGAGCAGGAACTTACTCCTGATGACTTGCAGCAACTGGATGAGATGTTAGAGGCTGACAGTGGTGAGGAGGAAAGGGAAAGTGATGACCATATGTCTACTTCAGATTTGAAAGATGTTGTTCACTACTGGGAGAAGTTCAGGAAACTGGCATCAAGGCACTCTAATGTGGAAAAAGCAGAACTTGCTTTGTGTAATGTTGAGGACACAGTGGTCTCCTTCTTCAAACATCAGTTAATGATGAGGAGAGATGCCCCACAAACAAAAATTGAGTTTTTTCACTAAAAGGCAGCGGGAAAAAGATGCTAGCCCTTAGCCTTCCACTTCAAGAAGGAGAGAGGTTGCTCCTGCTGGAGAATCTGTCAGTCCAGAGGTTCCTGACATTTTCATGGAAGGTGACTCACCTTCCAAGAAGCAGTAAAATGCTTCTCCTCCACCCCACTTCCTTCTCTTCTCCCTTCTCCTCCTCCACCTCCCACTTCAAATTCACATCAGCATCCAGGAGCCTTCTACATACACACATCAAAGTAAGTGTACTTTACTACCTTTTTTGTTGACTTTATGCAATTTACAGTGAGCTGGAACCAATTACCCCAAAACCCATTGAAACAATGGTTTCGGTTAACGAGCAACCTTCTGGAACGAACTGTGTTCATTAACCGAGGGACCACTGTATGTGTTGAGTATTTTTTTTTTCTCCCACATTCTACACTTGTCTTCCTCCATTCTCCCTGATTTGTACTTCCACCTTTATCCTCCCCGCTCAAAATTAGAAAAAGAGTAAAGATGATAGGTAGAATGATGATCAACAATATTCTCAATTTTGCAAAGGGCCATCTGGAATGTTTACTTAACAACAGGGTCAGTGCCTATCATTGGTGTGGGTGGTGTTGCGAGTGGCCACGATGCTTATGAGAAGATCTGCGCAGGAGCCAGCCTTATCCAGCTCTACACTGGTCTCATCTACCATGGTCCACCTCTGGTAGTAAAAGTCACTAGTGAACTTGAAGAGCTTTTGAGGTAACATCGAATATTTAACCTTAAGAGTTTTCCTGCCCATTACTAGACATTTTAGAGCTTTGCTTTAAAAGGAAACATTAGAGCAGAACACATTGGGTAAAGCAGCTAGAAAGAGCCAATGAGGGGGGAGTGTCTAAATTAGTCATGACTCCAGTCACTACCTTATGCTATAGTGGGAAAAAGCCTGCAAGAAAGATAAAGTACTTGAATTTAAATAGAGCATTTGACAATTTTGGTCAAAGATCACTTTCATAAGTATTTGTAACTTATTTGCCATACAGTAACTTGAATTAGTATGTGTAGATTCCTTTAAAAGTGCATTTTGTTCATAAACGTTTTCTGTTGTAAGTGTTCATATATTTCACATATATAAAAAAAGAAACTAAAAAGTTTGCAGCAGCCTTGGGCAAAGTTAAAGCAGTTGTTTTTCCCAATTTATGGTCATTCCTTTTGATAACTTTAACTTAACCAGTGGTGAAGCATGTTAGTTTGGCTGCAGAAAAGACTAGTTGGCAGAAATGGCTGTCCTTAAATTTTTTCCAAAATATTGCTGCTGAGTATGACCAAGTGCATTGTTTTAGGGATCAAATTTTAGATGTCTGTAGCATATATTATTTTTCTTTTTGGACACAGATAGACTTAACCTGCATATAATCTCTTTTTCTTCTATATGACACTTACAATGTGTGTGTTTGTGTGTGTGTGTGTGTGTTTATCACTTTTTTCCTCCAAACAGACGTGATGGATTCAGCACAGTGACTGAGGCAGTTGGAGCGGATTGCAAACAGTGAACAGTGTCTTTGGCTATTCTTATATGTAACTTTCTCCCCTGAGAAATCCTTTATCTAATTAACCAAATAGGGATTTGTTGCATTTCCCCTTGGTATTTATAATCTTATTAACTTAATGAACTGTAAGTCATTGCAGCACTCCCAAAAATTAGGTACTAAGAATACCTCAGTGGAGTATGCCAGGGAGTGATTAATGGACCACACACATATTGGAGAAGAATCATGAAGGAAAGCAGAAGACTGATGCCAGAGATGTGTGGGAAGGTTAGGTTACATTGAATTGAGTTTAGCAACAATTTATTTTCAAAATTAATATTATTGTCTGTGTTACACTTGGGACTGAGTATCAGTTGACTTGACCCTGAAAGTTTCACCATGACAAACAGGTTTCTGTAGGAAGTTGTACAAGTTTGGGATCCTTTTTCTTGCATCCCTTTATCCAAAGGGTCCAAAAACCGGCAACTGTAGCTGTGGGTAGGAATTTGAAATGTGTGCCTAGTAGTTCATCCAAGCTGCCGTTTTGATTCGGTGGAGCCACCGATGCAGCACTTCAGGTTAAGAGTTTGGTTTGCGTAAACACACATCTTGCATTTGACCCAGGGATATGAATTCAGGGTACAGTGATGAGAGGCAAGCATGTTACTGCTAAACCACCAACACATTAACTCATTTCCTTCCATTGTACTTGTACCGGTATACTTGTTCATTAATCATACTTTACTGAGACTAAATATTGAGGTTTTTTGCAGTGTGAATAAGGTAAAACAGGGTAATTAGGGATGGCCACAATCCAGGTAAGACACCAGATTATATTAGGATGAGTGAGTTGCAACTAGAGAGTATCTATCATGCTGCTGCTGCCTAATGTTATTAGTTGGGGTTACATTCCAAGGGGTTATTTTTTATGACATTTTGCTCATGTAAATGCTACTGTACATCACTTATAACATGTAAAAAATTAATTAATTAAAATAATGCATAAAACACTGAGATTTACTTCGAACAAAGTGTTTTGAGGAACATGCAGTTCCAGAGTTACAACCTCCTGACTTACAGACACTCGCACTTATGAACGGGATCCCAATATATTCATCACAAAAAATTGGTAACTGAAATCCCATTTTTACATTACTTTCATTGTTCTATATTGTTTAACATGATTTTATTTACAGTATTTACATTATTTGTTATGTATGGGATATTTTGTTGTCTTGTATGGGCAGGGTTGTGTTTTAACCTGACCTAAACTATGGAATTAACACTGTTCTGACTTATGAACAGGGTCCAGGAATGTAACTTGGGGACTGCCTGTACTTTGAATGAAAAAACAAAAAAACATGAAACACTGGAAATTATATTAAATACAGTATTGAAATATGAAACATTAGAAATGTTTAAATATTGAGATGTATGTTGAACAAAGATTTTAGGAATTTTGTACTAAAAAAAATTCAAAATGCTTTAAACAATGTTTATAGAATTTCCAGGAAGGGAACAGAAAATTAATTAAAAAATAGAAAAACGTCAGCAATGGTGTTAACCTTTGAGAAATATTGATATCTACTTTGGAAGAAGCTTAGAAAAATAAAAAAATGTAACTGTCAGATAGGATGTTAAACATCAAGCCTAGAGCTCTTGCAATATACACAGCTTGTTCCCCCTTTTCAAAATGCATATCACCTGTGATTTCTTGAATTTCAGCTCCAAGGAAATAATGTGCATATGTAAGATAGCCCCCATGGTGTGATGAAAGTGCCAAGGCAGAATAATTTCTTCCTAAGTATTAGGCAGAAATTTTGAGTTGCTGAAGCTTCTAGTGAAAGATACCTCAGTGAAGTGTTTTGAGTGAGACACTGTCAATGATTTTAAGATGCAAAAAGAGAAGTTACTTAAATCCTGTGGTGATAGTAATTTACCCAAGCAAATTGGTTTTATTTTATGTTGGTACATTCTAGACTCTGTGCTCTAAAATACAGAAGAAAAAACATCTGGATCTCCTTGGGTTTAAAGCTTCCCAGATAAGGGATCCTATACTTGTACAATGTGCAGAAAAAATAACAAAATAATAAAGTACCCAAAATAGTTAATACCAAAAAATTTACCAGAGTAAGTATTGCTATGTTCTTACTTCCCAGTAGTATTAACATTGGGGTAAATAATGAAACTATGTTTGTGTTTGGAAGTTAACTTTAATACAGTACTGTATTGTATATTAGAATATTTAATGTGTTAAACAGTCAACTGAATGAGTTTAGTGGATCACCTTCCATATAATCCATAAAACAGCTGTACTCTATATACTGTACTGAAAATTTTATACTTCTGAACTTGTCATATAGCATTTCCTCATCATAAAGTTCCTTACAGGCGAGATGAGAAAAATAGCACCACACGCATTTTCCAATACAAGGGAAATAGAAGAACTATTACTAATACAGTTATTTTTATATAACATTATGTACTTTATATTTTATACAAAATAAATCTACCAACCTTTCACTTTGTCTTATTAATTATCCACAGTTGAGAAGGAACAAAAATGAAATGTGAAACCATTTTCAAAAAATTACTTAAAACTAGTTACATTATTTTAACAATCCTTTTATGGTCTCTTGATGCACATGTCACTAAGCCCTCCTGTGCTGGTGCAATACCTCCTGCTCAGCCGTATCTCACACAGAGCACTCCTTCCATAAGCAGAAACACGGGAACCACCTAATTCCTCTCACTAACCTCATGGGCAAGACGATGCATCTGTAAAGGTGCCATTAGGGTCCGGATTACTCTACTCAAGTACAATAAAATGGAAAACCACTCCTGTTGCCGACACAACCTCTGTTGAAAGACTGACCATGGTCGAGTGTGCCAGAGTTAAAACATTTATCCTGATGGTTACTTTTCCTAGATTGTTTTTCAATGTTGTCCTGTAAAATGTTCACATTTTTTTGTCATAACAATTAGTGTATTATATGCATCACTTCTACATGATGCAGACCAGACTTGACTTACCCATGACATTGACTGCTGGTGCTCATCAAACAATTAGTAAAGCACCCATCATAAGAACAACCCTTAAAAAGGAGTATTAGAAATTAAAATTGCTAGTAGAGGTTGAGAGGTGGACAAGTTCTGGCTCCATGGGCGCTAGCACAGCCTAGACCTCCTCATTCATATATACCAATATTGGATTTCCAATATACAAACCTTAGTCCAACTCAACTCCACAATAAATTGATTGGGAGGGGAGGTTTAAGTATGAAATGAGATTTCCAGAATAAATGCTTCACTTATAACCTCACAGCAGTACAAGGAATCGCATGTATATGAGGTCGGCTAGAAAGGGGTGGTGACAAAATACCAAACTAGAGGAGGGAATCAAACAGTTACAGTGAGTTTAAATGTAGAGGGGAGGAGAGCTAGGGGTAGGCTAAGAATGACATGGGATTGGTTTGTAAGAAATGACAAAGTTATGAACCTGACAAGAGGTAATGCAACATGAGGAGCCGACATTTCATCTGCATTCATCCTTACTAGATGGCCCACTCTCAAGAGTCCAGTCCAGTAACAAAGTACAATTTCATATGAGTGGACATCAGGTAATTTTATCTCTGAGGTTTCACAATGTGATACCCACAAGAAAATCAATTCACTGAACACAGCCAGATTGCAGAAATCTGATAATTTCCACTTCATCAGTGCTACACCTTGAGTTATGATCCAAATTCAGTGTTTCAAAGACATACTGTGAAACTCTTAACAAAAGGAAGAAGAAATAATTACCTTAATCTACAGGTTGTTTCATTTCCACAGCTGAGGAGAAACAACTAGCTGCCAAACTCATGTGCTAAATACAAATAATGACCTCTAGGATCTTTATGTCAAACATGGGCTAGATGAAATCAAAAGGTCAAGGAAGAAAAAACATAACAGTACTGTGCACTATAAAATCTGCTAACACTGATCAACCAAGGTTAAGGATTAGTTGTCATAAGTTTGGTGGCAAAGCAAAGCAAAACTGAGGGACTTATCCTACAGTCTGATTTCATAAGAGCCTATACAGAACAACTTGGGCATATATTCAGTGAAGGTTTAAAACTTTGTAAGCCAGAGTTGCCTCCTCTCTGATGTTCTCTCTTCCAACAACCCAAGTTTTTAAAAAGGAATGTGAATAAAGCTCCAGTTGCCTAACAAGTCATGATCACCATACATTGCATGAATAACCCTCTTATTGTTCAGGTTAAAGTTACCCGAAGAAAGACAATGGAAAACAAATCATTCTATTAATACGTACAGGCACCCTCGCTATCCAAATGATTATACAAAAACTCGCTTATCTGAAAATTCCATAATTACACCTCTTTTTCACTGTCCAAATGCAATTCTCACTTATCTGAAAGATGGTGCTATTGAAAATTAAAATTTCACATGTCAGACATGGGCCGGGAGTCAGCCAGGTTGCCCCCCCTCCCTCTCACATCCCCCTTAGCCTGTGTCATCTCCATCTCATGGGCTATTTGCTTAGTGTTTAGTGGAAGTGAAGTGATCTCTCTTTATCCGTGTATATTTTTGCCATATTTTCATGAATCTGTTCAGAATAGCATCCAAGTTTTGTGCTGATTCCTTGGCTGCAAGCCTATGATAACTGAAAATAAGCTTGAAATAATGATGCCATGAATGCGAATAGACCCTAGCCAATTTTGTTACGAGTATTTTTAGATATAATTATGGGATTTCCGTGTAATTAGGGACTAAATTACAGTACAGTATAGTCTCGATTTACGTGGTCAATTAAACCCATGGAGGTCCGCGTATAACGCGAAACGTGTAAATGAAATAACAGATCATATGGGATTAATTGAAATAGAGACTGGGCCGACCGCCAGACTACCCTTTTTCCGACACAATACGTACGTTGTAGTAAAAATAACATCTTAATTTTATGATGGTATGCACACACAATTAATATGTAAGAGAAATATCAATAATAATAGGTTTTTTAACACTTACGTTAGTAGAAGAGATGGCTGGGCACACGGGGATGGGGGGTTGGTTCCGAGGCAGAGGGCAGATTATTGGCCCTCACCTGTATCACTTGTATCACTATCCACCACAGAGGCTAGTAGGGCCTCCTTGTCAAACCCCTCAAAGTCTATATCCTCACTATCACCGACTTGGGCTGGCTGTGGTGGGTGGTGGGTGAAGAACTTGGTAATGTTTTGTTGACTGGGCAAGCAAGGTTAAATAGACCAATCACAGCTTGCGGCGGAGGGGATACGTGGGTGGTAAAGATGCGTGGCCCAATCACAGTCCGAAGCGTCAGCGGTGACGTAAGAGTGACCTAGCGCGCAGCTTGTCCGCGCCGCTTCCCGCGTAAATTCAGGAATGTACCGCGTAACTAAAAATTGGCGCGTCTGGACAGGTGCCGCGTAAATGACCAACCGCATACGGAAAATCCGCATAAACCGAGACTATACTGTACTGTACATTAGACCCTTGCTATACGCAGTTTTATGGTTCTCAACTCATTCCCAAAAAAGTACATAAACGAGTACATAAACAGCACCTTCCCTTCTCGTAACCATCCTCTGGGTGACACCACCACATCAATAAATAAATAACAGGGTAATTATGGTGAAATTCCCTCTCCACTTCATATTTTCTTATTTTATACTTGTTATATGATTTCATTGTTTTGTTACTGTTTTATAACAATGTACAGGTATCCCTTGTTTTAGTGTCAATTCACTTAACGATAATTTGGTTTAGTGATATAAAATTTTTAACACCCTTTCTTGTTCAAAGTTAGGTCAAAATTTGGTTTAGCGATCACTTGACTCGCTATGATGAGGGAAAACCGAGGATGATGTGGCCTGTGAGGTAGAGCATGTTTCCTTTGTTACATGTAATGTTACTATAAAAGTTGTGGAAAAATCATTACAATACTATAGTGTGGCTTAGAAATAAAGAATACCCTGTATGTAATATAAAATTATAAAGTAAGACAAATATAGAGCATGAGTGTGCATGTGTGTTCTGAAGCTGTGAGCTGTAACTGCAGCCAACCGCACTCTCCCTCCCCCCATGGTATGCACAGCCAGCAGTCATACAAGTCTCTCAAGTCAGCAAGGTGACTGCCTGGCTGAACTGTGTCGCTTGTATACTGTACCAGTAAATCTGAGGACTAAATAATATAAATAAAAAAAATGCTGTGTTGCCATTTGGCAATCGATTCTTTATACATGGGACACAGGAGAGAGCCAGCAGCTGAGATCCACCCTCCCCAGATCTGTGTGCTAACTCCCAAATGCATAAGAAATTTTTATTTCCTTTATGTTTTGACCTTATGACAATTATTTCATTTATTTTATTGCACATTCTCTATGAATGATTGTGTGCAAACAATACTGTAATAAAAAAAAAACAGCTCAGCCTCACCCGCTCTGAATACTACTGAGTAGCGAGTCGGCGCCTTGAGAACACTGTTACAGTCCACTGCCTCCACAAGCCAATGCATATGATCAACTGTCACACATGCACACCCATGGTCTTAATTTATCTTATTTTAGTTTTATATTATATTTTCTTTATTTGTAAGCCACATTAGAGTATTGTAATGATTATTCCACAACTTTTAGTTTCATTACATGTAACACTGGCAACATGCCATTTCCACAAATATTATTCCTCGTTATCCGTTCAGTGATAATTTTGCTTAACGTTAGGTATTTCAGCAATGCATCCCCATCGTTAAATGAGCAACACCTGTACTGTACCTGCATCATATTTAAAGAAAACATATTGAAAGTACCATATATGTAACATTATGTTTATGAGTGACTCAAGTATCTCAAACATAATGTACAAACTGGTTTGGTACACCTTTATAGTAGTGTACTTTATACAGTATTGTACTGTATATTGTAAATAATATTTTTTCATTAATGTTTGTCACCACTGTACATCTATTTAATGAAAATCATACCAAAATACCATTTATGGGTGACTTAAGTAATACAGTGCTGCACTAAGGCCATATAGGGAAACATATACAGGTAAGGTCCATGAAAAGTCGGTTATTTTGCATTGTTTATATAGATGTTTGGTGTTAACACAGTACTAATATATAAATCTTTTAACTTCAAAACCGTTTAAAACAAACTCATTTATTATTATTACAGGTATACCCCAAAAACCGTCGTTCCATTAACCACCGATTCGCATAACCGACGATTACATATAGGGGAAATACTCCCTCAAGTTTCGTTTACGCCACGGAGATCCAACGATCGGGAGATGAGCGGCAGAGCTGTTCTTAAATTTGACAGGTGGTGGTGTGGTGCAAATTGTTGCCAGGAAAGGGCTACCTCTGACTCATTCCAGCCTCTCTGCACTTGTTTACACTTACCATGTGTCTGTGTTTTTTCATTATTTCCGACTTTGTGTGTTATGCAATCTTGCCTACATGCCTCAGTGATAATTCCTCTTGTGCTTATAAGC